TGGCGCCACCTCAGGATAGGCCCAAGGCACAATAACTTCTCAGCCGGAACAAAGTCCCTGGTACCTAATCTGGGTAAAACCAAGGCTAAACGACTCCTCGGTCGGTTACAAGACCTCGGCGCCGTCTCAGAATAGGCCCAACGCTCGATGATTTCTCAGTTAATAGTTTTAACGCCACCTCAGGATAGACCCAAGGCACAATGACTTCTCAGTCGGAACAAAGTCTCTTGTACCTAATCTGGATAAAACCAAGGCAAAACGACTCCTCAGTCGGTATAAAGACCTTGATACCTTCTCAGAGTAAAACCAAGGCAAAACGACTTCTCAGACGGAAAAAATCCTTTGGCTCTTTCTAAAGAATAAAGTCCAAGGCAAAATAACTTCTCAGTCGGCACAAAGCCCTTGGTACCTCCTCAGAGTAAAACCAAGGCAAAATGATTTCTTAGTCGGTATAAAGACCTTGGTACCTCCTTAGGGTAAAACTAAGACAAAACGACTTCTCAGTCGGTACAAAATCCTTGGTACCTCCTTAGGGTAAAACCAAGGCAAAACGACTTCTCAGTCGGTATAAAGACCTTGGTACCTTCTTAGGGTAAAACTAAGGCAAAACGACTACTTAGACGGTATAAAGACCTTGGTACCTCCTCAGGGTAAAACCAAGGCAAAACAACTTCTCAGTCGATACAAAGCCCTTGGTACCTAATCTGGATAAAACCAAGACAAAACGACTTCTCAGTCAGAAAAAATCCCTTGGCTCTTCCTAAAGAATAAAGTCCAAGGCAAAATGACTTCTCAGTCGGTATAAAGACCTTGGTACCTAATCTGGGTAAAACCAAGGCAAAATGACTTCTTAGTCGGTATAAAGACCTTGGTACCTCCTTGGGGTAAAACCAAGGCAAAACGACTTCTCAGTCGGTATAAAGACCTAGGTACTAAAGGCAAACCAACTTCTCAGACGGTATAAAGACCCTGGTACCTAGTCTGGGTAAAACTAAGGCAAAACGACTTCTCAGTCGGCACAAAGCCCTTGGTACCTAATCTGGGTAAAACCAAGGCAAAACGACTCTTCAGTCGGGAAAAAACCCTTAGCTCTTCCTAAAGAATAAAGTCCAAGGTAAAACGACTTTTCAGTCGGCACAAAGCCCCTGGTACCTAATCTGGGTAAAACCAATGCAAAACGACTTTTCAGTCGGTATAAAGCCCTTGGCTCTTCCTAAAGAATAAAGTCTAAGGCAAAACTACTTTCTAGTCGGAACAAAGTCCTTGGCTCTTCATCCAAGAACTAAACAAGGCACAACGACTTTTTAGTCGGTTATAAAACCTTTGGTTCTGCGTCAAAAGTAACCCAAAGTATAAAGACTCCTCAAGTCAGTGCTTCACCTATGGTTCCCTACCTAGATGAACCCAAGACAAGGCCCTAAGGACCGACATAAAAAAAAAGAGAGAGCAACAAAGTTCAACATGTTCAAATTATTTCAGCAACTCTCAAAAGCAAAAGACAGGAAAAATCACTCTCATTCGAAAGAGTCTTGTACATCTTTTACAAAACAGGGGCCCAACTGGGCTTAAGAGGAGCAAAAGATAAAGAAAGAGAAGGAGGGGGGGGGGGGGGTCTATTTTTAAAAACTTTTTCCTAAGACTGAGGGTCATCACCCTCAGAATCCCTCTTCATTCTCTTTGAAGCCCTTCTGGAAGAACTCGTCTCCTCTGAGTCTGCACCTCTTCTACAGACCTCCATTGGTGGAGGAAGGACTGTCACTTCGGAGCCAGAGGAGGACGAGGAGGACCCTCCCATCTTTGGAAATTCTTCTCCGACCAAAGCTCTAGACTCTTGAAGACCGAGAAGACCCCGAAGCTTCTCGAGATCTTTGGCCTCAGGGTCACTAAGAGCCCTTGGCTCCAGGACATTCTCCTGAACCTCGGGCCAACCCGAGCAAGACAATATATTATCAGCGCAGAACACCCAGACGAAGAACATCTTCCATTCTTCGTCCAACTCTGGGAGGTCGGTATCCAAGCGGAAATCACCTCGATAGCGGAAGAAATAGTGGGGGTCCCCCTCAGCGGACCCCACACTGACCACGTGCTCCAACAAGCTAATGCTGGGAACCACCTTTGCCTCGGAGCAGATGTCTATAAACACCATCAAAGTGCAGATGACGTGCGGGTGGAATTGGCAAGGGGAAACCCCCAGAGCCGCAAAAACTTCCCTTACAAAGGTATGCAGCGGCAGGCGTAGACCACACTGTTGGTGTGCCAGGTAGAGAGGCGCTCGGTCCTCGCCATGCATATGCACCAGAGTAAAGCTATCTGGTGCCCCTATGGTCATTGCACGAGAGATGTCGTACCTATCATACAACCATGCCGCGTCATCCATAGACATTCTCGACTGAGATAAGTACAGAACCCTAAGCTTCCTCTCGCGGTCATTCTGAGGAAAGGCCATGATAAAATCTCTTAGGAAGAAATGAAAGAACCTACGAAGAGAATTGTTCTTGAGATAGAGTACTCTTTCAACAGCGTTGGCAACTATTTATAGGCCCTCGAGGAAACAGGCGGGAGAACTCAAGAGGCTCAATCCTTGGAGCAACCAATGCAGATACGCTTCGGGAATCTGAAACGGATCGTTGGAGATACGGACCGCCGCTCACACCAATCAATAGGCAAAGCGAAGCGCCTCCCGCTCTAACCCCTGATGCCTCGTTTCCTATGAAGAAGCGGTTCCCAAAACTGACAACATCAATCTACAGAAGGTTGACGGTTAGCGAGTCTTGCGCCACGTCTCCAAGCCATGATCGGCTGGCTAAAGAGTCTCGAACACCCTGAGTAAATTCATTTTACTCGGACCCAACCAAAGTTGGCTCCAAATGAAAGGGGCCAACTGTTATGGTAATTTACCATCTAGAGATAAGAACGTCGAAAGATTGACTATAAATGCCCAAAAAGCCATGGTCCTAACCGGCTCAAGAAACTCAGAAGCCCAGACCAAGGTCAAATCTATTGACCCGTCAAGCAGACGAGCCCTCTCTCGACCAAGAGTCGCTATAACCGACTCGAAGCGCGGGACCAGTCGGTCCTCCGTAATTAAGACGACTCCCCGAGCGGACGTCTCGATGGCGCTCTCGTCCTAAAACTCACTCGGTTGTCGGTCGACAAATCATAGTGATGACTCACGGATCAACCCGCCTCGACTAAAGGGATAAGATCCGACCAAGACTACTTCAAATGTCACTCGAAGCTACAGCATTGACTAGTCCCATCAAGATCTACGCTCTGACAAGGATCTCCTGCACAAGCCGCCTATTCCACTCACAAGTCATTTCCAAGAGAATTGTTATGATGCTTCTCTGTACACAAATGACTTCTTTTCTAATTCTCAGCCGTCACCTGGAGAAAGAAGGACGGCCACACAGCCGACCTACCCTACACCCGGTCTACTCTGACAAACCCAGAGCACTGAGAAGACTTCTCTCCCCTGACACCGAGTGATTTCCCTCCCAGTCGCCTGCCGACACTTGGAGGAAGAAAGATGACTCAGCAGCCCGCCTGTTCATCTTTCAAACTGCCTCATGTGTATAGTCAACAAAAGCCGAGGGTCAAACTCCCAGAGGCAAGGAGGCTATAAAAGGAGGTAAGGAAGGTAAGGGCAAAAAAAAAGGGCTCTGGCTACTTCTTCTTGCACCTTAGCTTTACTCCCCTTTGGTAATTTAATAATTCCAAGAGAAAAACCCCCCCGTAAGGACCTCAATGACCCATGGGCCTCTCAACAAACCCTTCCCAAGTTCATCAACTGACTTGACCGTTGGAGGTACCACGGGGGAAACTAGCTCCATATTTCTGTGATTCTTCCATGTGCAGGCTATCAGTCCACCTCGCACGCTCAGAATAGGGCATAAAGTCGGAGGAGGAGTCGGCCCCAACATTCATCCTCTCCTTCTTCCCCACCGTCATCAGGGTCGAAACTGTATCCGACTGCGGGAAACCCTCATCGACTGTTTGTTCACGAGCATCAGCAAATATATAAAACAACTTTATGATATTAATTTGTTAAGGTAAAGAAATTATACACATCTAACATACTATAATACATAAAGTATTGTAAGAAAACCCTAAAATTTTTTAAAAATTGCACAAATACCCTCAAAAGTTTAAAATTATAAAAACTTCCTGACATTTCAAAACTTAAAATAACAAACATGAAATTAAGAAACTAATAGCAGCCTGCGAAGAATTTAAAATTTATAGTTAACACCCTAAATGTTTCAAAATTTATAGAAGCATCCTCAAAATTTCAAATTACAAACAAGCACCCTAAAATTTTAACATTTTAAAACTTACAAACAACATAAATGAATTCAATGGATCATCATGATGCACCCAAATATTTCTGACGTTTCAAAATTTAAAACAACAAATATGAAATCATGAAATTAACAGCAACCTCCGAAGAATTTAAAATTTATAATTAACACACTCAATATCTCAAAAATTATAGAAACACCCTTAAAAGTTTAAATTATAAAAAAATACCCTAAAATTCTAAAATTTTAAAACATGAAAACAGAAGACTTCCTTTGTACCATGCATGTACAATTCTGACATCGGTGCTTTTGTTCTTTTTTCTGTTTGGCTTATTGCCTTGTGATCACATGTTTTCTGCAACAGCACTAATATCGAAGTAATTCTTGTTTTTGTGTTTTTTCCCCAATAAGTTAAGGAGAGGTCTTAGTACTTTGTATTTGCAACCCCTAGCTTAACCGGTTGCCACAACAATTGAAAGAAAAAGCCTGGCGAAGAGTCCTTCAACAAAACAAAACCAAGAGCCCCAAAGTTAAGCATGGCATCAAATAATTTGCGCCTTTCAAGCCACCCTATCCTCCCATAGAGGCATAGACCCAAGCAATGTTGCTCTCGAAATGTCCTTTTCTCTCTGTCGAGCCAAGGAATCCAGTGACCAATGTTGCACTTTTCACGTACTTAACAAGCTCAAACTTCTACAATTCATGCACATTATATCCCCTTCGATTTATACTCTCTTCCTCCCACCAACGAAAGTTTCACAATGTCCTCGGCCTCTCTCCTAATCCTCCTATTATCAATTACCTCCCTCATACACTCAACCCTAGCATCTCTCTACAATCCACCACCACGAGTTCTAAAATACCACAACGGCCCACTGCTTGACGGCGAAATCCCCATCTCGATCCTATGGTATGGAAAATTCTCTAAATCTCAAAAATCCATCGTCACCGACTTCATCCTCTCTCTAACCTTCCATCATCAACTCACGAACTCCCTCGACTCGCCTCCGTCCGTCTCCAAATGGTGGCAAACGGTCGATGCCTACCTCCAGAAAGTCGGCAAGAGAAGGACCCACATGCATTTATCCACCCAAATCTCAGACCAAGAATATTCTCTAGGCAAATCACTAACTAGGTCGCAACTTGCAACGTTGGCTACAAAATCCGGTAACAGAAATAGAGGACTCGTCCTCATTCTCACCGCGGAGGACGTGACCGTCGAGTCCTTTTGCATGTCCACATGTGGGCTCCACAGTTCGTACGGGAAGCAGGCCTACGTTTGGGTCGGGAACTCCGCGGCCCAGTGTCCCGGTCTTTGCGCATGGCCTTTTCATGAAGCTCTGTATGGGCCGAGCAGCCCACCATTGGGTGCGCCGAATGGGGATGTGGGTGTGGATGGGATGGTGATTAATTTGGGGACTTTGTTAGCGGGTGCGGGAACCCGTTCGGCAACGGGTTTTACGATGGGGAAGCGGGTGCGCCCGCTGAGGTTGCGGGTGCTTGTGCCGGTGTTTTCGGGCCGGGTGCGTACCCAGGGTATGCGGGGCGGGTGAGGGTGGATGAGAATGGAGGGACATATAATGTTGTTGGGCTCAAGGGCAGGGAGTATTTGGTGCCCGCTATGTTAGGACCCGAGTCTTTTACTTGTTCCCCTTTGGTTTGATTTGTGTGTGCGCAGAGGCAAGTTATGAATGTTTCTATGGAATACTACACATATATTTTGATATGAGGACTGTATATGTTTATATGTTTAAAAAAATATTTTATTTTTGTCTTTTGATATAAATGTGTTTCTTTTGTTCATAATAGTTGTTTTTCAACTTTCATCAGGTGTGTAATTAGTATATTGGACACAACACTTGAGATTTGGGCACAACTATTCGTTGAGCCTATCAACCTGTAACGCTCCAAATATTTATTATAAGATCATATGAAAAGATGCCCTAATTCACAAAAGATAAATGAATATCAAGGATAAGAATTCAGGTATTACAGAAAATGTGGATGTAGGGCTGTCCATTTGGCCCGCCGGCCCGGGTCCGGGTTTGGCCCGGAAACCTGGGCCAGA